ACATAATTAATACTTATATATGGTATGCATATAATTTAATGTGATGATGTTTGACTCATCCCAGAGGACATAAACATATTTTTCACTTCATTGAATTTTAAAGTTTCTATGTGTATTTTAGAAAGACACTTTGATCTTAGATTTGAAAATGGTCAAAAATAACCTGCTGGCGGAAAAAATAAAGTTCAAGTAGAAAACTATGAATTAATCATTCTTTCAGTCATTCAACTATTGGTTCATTGCTGACAATAAAGTTAAGTGACATACTGGTTACATTTTTTAACATTAATCCTTCACATAAGAACCCACTGATTGATACATATTCCTAAACAAGCTCTGTGAAAATTTAGGCTTACCCCACAGAAGCAGGGGAGAGAAAAGTGAATTCAAGATCATAGTTTAAACAAGAAGTATGACTTGCAATGCACTTTTTGGCTTAAATACAAATTTTCATCAAATGTCTAGGCACACCCACAAATAAGAGGTCAAAACAAAGTTGCATAGTCAGCCTAACATTTAAAAAAAAATTAATGCTAATTAATACTTTCAAATGGTACATTTTCCCACATTTAAACTTATGAAAATTTCCCTCTGCTTAACATAAGCAATTTTAAAAAGAGCTGGTGAATTTTACAAATAACAACAAAAATATCCTAATCTTTTAAAATTAGATCAATATTTTCATTGTAATACTTTTTTGTCTGTTAATTTTACAGTGCCAATCTACAAAACATTTCCCAGTGGTGTTTGTTCTCAGAAGTAGACAATAAAGAGGCATCGCTCTGCTTCATTACAAGGTGCACACTGGCAGGGGAAAAATGCATGAAACAGAGCAGTCTACCTTGGGAGCTTATTAGGATAATTAGCACTATAAAGCGAGGATATTGAATTAATTCCATAATCTGAAGCTCGAGACCATCAAATACATAAACAAATATACCTATATTTATGCATATGATATCTTCTGAAATCAGAATCCTAACTTCGTTAGTAAATACTTGAGAGTGTGAAATTTTAATACTATAATTCTAAAGACAGTAATTTTAATTTTCTAGACTTTTTTTTTTTTTACATTATTCTCACTCACTGGCAACATACAGCTTTGAAAGGGAGGGGAGACTCAAGATCCCTCCCCCCCAAAATAAAAATGGGCATACACAAAAGGCTGGGCTCTCACTGTCCTTCGAGCCTGTGACTGACTTTCACATGCAGCACAGATGTCTTTATCCAGAATTCAGATAGCCTCAATTGCTACATTCTTAAAATCCCTGTCGACAGAATTGTGTAGGAAATAAAACAAAAACGCCTTTCTATCACAGGCATTTGGTTTAGGAAGAGTCCAATAAAAGGCAAGACCAGCGCCAAGAGCCAACAACAAGACAAGAGATTGGAGATAATGTATTGACCTCTAAGCAGTGCTCTCCCTTGGCGGATTGTTCCGCAGAGTATAACTGGGACTCCACGGGTCCTTCTGCTCGCGAGAGCAAAATCAGATATCTTCAATTGCTACATTCTTAAAATCCCTGACTACAAAATTGCAAGAAGTAAGTCCCAGACCGAACTCTGAAGATCTTTAGTATGAACCTCACAACTCCCTGGAGGTCTTTCGCGGGCTGCCTCTATACTTAACAGTTAGACAGACATAGAATCTGCCCCAGGGGCAATGTCTTCTCTCTCTCTCTTTCGCGGTTTCGCTCTCTCTCTTTCTCTCTCTCTCTCTCCATATTTTCTCCATAAAGTAAAACAGACTTCTATGGATTCCAACTGAGAATCGAATATTCAACTAAGACTCTCACAACAGGCCCGCACCCAAGGGCAGCCTAGGCACCTCCTAGATTTCCTTGTCCAGCGCAAGAGAAAACTGGGGTGGGGGCAGGGGACAGCGAGTCGAGGGCAAAGTTCCAAAACTGGTCAAAATCTAGCCTGATGTGAAATTAAGAAAAGCCAGCCCAAAGGTCCAGCTTTTGCCTGGCAAACCTGAGAGAAGTGCATTTTAAAGGGGAGGTGTGGGTCCCTGCCTTCGCCACAATAAGATTCTTCCTAAGGAACCCACCGGAGCTTGTCTCATTTCCTGGGATGGGGAAGCCCCACGTAGTTCTTCCGTTTGTCTTTTCCCCTAAAGGAAGCTGATGAACGCACACATGATCCCAGTGTGCCGAGGGGGTGGAGAGGAGTTCATTTCCTTTGAGTGAACAAAATTAAGTCAAGTCCCCCTGCGCTGGTGACGATAGAATTTCCTGGAGCCTCGGAACACTTCTCAGACCCCGTCCGCCCCTCGCCCAGACGCCGCATCGGGAGGGTGGGGAGAGAGGTGGATTCTGCCTGCGCCCTTCAGTGCAGCCAGTCCTTGCATTGGGTCCTGGCGTCCGAGAGCACCAGACACGCACAAGCCAACGCGTCCTCACATTTCCTATTTGCATAACTATTGACCAAAAAGTGGGATAAATATCCCCATTTCCTGGTTATGGCACCTAGACTCGGAACGCTAACAGGTCTTGCTCACAAAGACTAAGGGCCGGGAGCCAGTTTTCCCCCAATTCGGAATTCGCTGCTTTCAATTTGGGCATTAAGGGGGGTGCAGAAGGCTCGGTCCCCTGGGGCACCGCAACTTATCGCCTCCAGCTGCTCCGGGCTCTGGGCCTGTAAGGGCCTGAGACTCCCCCGACGGCTTCCAGCGCGCACGGATGGGGAGCGATTCTGCTGGGAAAGTGGGCAGGGGAGACCTCCCGAGGGAATGGAGGGACTTATGTGAACGGGAGGAGGGGGATGCTTTCCATCCTCGGCCAGAAGTGCCACGCACTCGGCTCTCCCGTGGTCTCCCTTCTCCGTGCTGCACTGCCTGTCGTGGGCCCTTGTGCGTGATGTTTCTCGCTAAAAGTTGTCCTTTCTGCGGATTTGGAAGTCACCCTACGGTCTGTGCTTTGTCATGACCCTCATCTCTCTCTTTATTTCTGCCCCTGCCCTGTCGCATTTCCAGGAAATGAGCTCTCAGAAGAGAAAGCCTCTCTGTTGGCAATCTCACAGAAATGATGGAAATGGTTGCAGGGCGTTTTTCTTCCCCTCTGCTATTTTTTTTCCCCCCGAGTGAACTGTGAAGATCTGTGAAAATAATATCAGGGTTTCCCGTCAGAACGAGCTTTGCCCTGCACTGAGGCGTAGCATGATCTGACCCGACACCTCCAACCATCTGTGCTATCTATCTGCCTTCTGACTTACCGGGGCTGCACAGCCGCGCACAGATTGTACTTGATACTAAAGAAAAGGCAGCCGGGCCCAGTCGGGTCCAGGAGAACCTTCCTCGTGGATTCCTTTCTTGGGATGGGCCTTTAAAGGGGGTATTCCTTGGAACCCCACCCCCACCCAATCATTTTCTTCAAACTAAACCCCAGTGAAAGGCCCAGGTGAGATTGGGGTTGCTTTTTACCTTGACCTCAGAACACGGTAGGATGAAACGTCAGTTGGAAATCAACAAAAGTTACGAATTCAACCCTCGGGCCTGAAGGCAGGGCAGCCAAGAAGGCCCTTCTCTGAGGGCGGAGTCAGTGCTCAACAGCTAAGTAAGCGCTTTCTACCCTCCCCCCTCCCACTCCCACCCCTGCAGACCATTGTTGTGCCACTCTTTCCCTCCTCTTCCCCCCATTCTCTCCCCCCCCCCCCATTTTACCTCTACTGAATTACTTTTGTGCTAAAAATGCCAAGGTTAGAGTTTCTATCCCCAGCTTAAGAGTTAAGTGTTCCAACACAGACTAGGGGAAAAACTAGCCTTCCAGAAAAAGCAAATCAATATTAAAAAAAAAAAAAAATCTTTGAAATAAGCTTTTAAGTTGCTGTCCTGACCTGCCAATGACTTCTCACTCTAGATGTGGCCATGCCGCCCATTTATTCAAGTCCATTAAACTGGGGGGGGGGGGGGGGGGAAGTGGAGGGAGGAGCAGAGAGGCTGAAAAGTATAAACTTTTGGAGGGTGTGATGCCCCTTTTCCTATGAGTGTTTGACTTCGGGCCAGCACCTGGCTCTGAGTGATTTCAGGAGGCCTGTGAAGGTGGTGGTGGGGTGTAGTGTCCACACTGACCTCCTTACAGATCCTGGGTCCGTTCCTTCTGCTGCAGATTGGCTCCCCACTGGGCTGCTTTGGCAGACAGACAAGGAGGAAAGGCATGCGGGGATGGGTGCTGCTGGGAAGAAATGAGGTGATCCACTTTCCCTCCCTTCCCGTGCCTGCGCTCCCCCGCAACTGTTTGCCTTTTGGCTATGACTAAACGACGGATCCTTGGAGGGTTTCAATTTGGCCAGTCCTCTTTGTCCTCTGGAGACCTCTTGACCCAGGCAGAGCATCGCCCCAAAGTGGATTCCTGTAGCTTCGCTGCCTCCTGGGGGCGGGGGTGGAGGTTGGGGAGGAGGGAGGGGGCGGGGGACAGAAGAACAAGGCTAGGGAGGGGAGGAGGGGGTGTTGAAACGCTGCTGCTCTGGACTCTTTCCGCCCAGCTACTCGCAAGTCTTTTCCTCCTCGGGCTTCTGCAAACAAAATGCTGCGGGGAAGTCCACGGGCGGGCGGACAGCGGGCGCTGTCGAGAGCGGGGAGGTGCTGAAATGGCCTAGACGCCCCGGTTGCGGTCTTGATTGGCAGAGCCGGCCGGTGACTGACAGGGGGTCTCCATGGCGCCCGGGCTGCCAATCCGCCCACCCCAGTAGAGAAGCCCGCTCGCCCGCCGGCTCGGCCCTAACGGTGTGAAGCTGGACCTGAGCCGCGGAGCCCGCACCTCCTCCCACCCCTCCCGCCCGCTCCCTCGCCACAGGTGCGTCTCCACCACCTCCACCTCCGCCACCTCCACCACCTCCACCTCCACCTCCACCTCCGCCGCCGCCATTCCAGCGGCCAGCCCGGCTGCCCAGAGCTGGTGCACCGCGAAGAGCCTGGCGCACCCGGCGGGCCGGTGGGCATCTGCCGCCGCGCGTCCCGTCCCCGGCTCGGCACTCGCGCCGGCGCCGCCGCCGCCCCCATGTTCCAGCTGCCCATCCTGAACTTCAGCCCCCAGCAAGTGGCGGGGGTGTGCGAGACCCTGGAGGAGAGCGGCGACGTGGAGCGCCTGGGCCGCTTCCTCTGGTCGCTGCCCGTGGCCCCGGCGGCCTGCGAGGCCCTCAACAAGAACGAGTCGGTGCTGCGCGCCCGCGCCATCGTGGCTTTCCACGGCGGCCACTACCGCGAGCTCTACCACATCCTGGAGAACCACAAGTTCACCAAGGACTCGCACGCCAAGCTGCAGGCGCTGTGGCTCGAGGCGCACTACCAGGAGGCGGAGAAGCTGCGCGGCCGGCCGCTGGGGCCGGTGGACAAGTACCGGGTGCGCAAGAAGTTCCCGCTGCCGCGCACCATCTGGGACGGCGAGCAGAAGACGCACTGCTTCAAGGAGCGCACGCGGCACCTGCTGCGCGAGTGGTACCTGCAGGACCCGTACCCCAACCCCAGCAAGAAGCGGGAGCTCGCCCAGGCCACCGGACTCACCCCGACGCAGGTGGGCAACTGGTTCAAAAACCGCCGGCAAAGGGACCGGGCGGCTGCTGCGAAGAACAGGTCAGTCCCTGGAGCCTCCCCGCCGTGCGCTCATCCGGAAAGGGGGCGGGGGGCGGCGGGCGGCGGGCCCCGCGACTTGGATGTGAGCACGGTCTTCGCCTTGGGTTTGGAGACCCTGCGTTCTGGGATTCTGGGCAGGGGGTTCCTTCGGGGCGCTTGGTTCTACACAGTCTCGTTCTGGGAGCCTGGGGAGCCGGTCCAGCAGCTGGTTCCGGTCACCAGATGCAGGCTGCATTGGGAGGAGGACAGAAGTTAAGGTCCCAGGAACAATGAGGGACCTCAAGGCCCAAAGCTAATTCTCTTATTATTAAAGAAAGCCTGGCTTGGAAGCGGTGCGCCGGCCGTGTATTGGCCGCTTGAAAGCCCGGATGTGTCCCTCTCTGATGCTATGAAAACAGTTTTCCGTGGACTTCTGCTTCTAAGAAGTGGGAAGTGGAGCTCTTCTCTTCCCATGCGTGGGCAGCCCACTCTCAAAACAGCAGATTAGTGGGCTATGGCTTTCTTTTCTTTTCCAGCGTGTGGCCCTCAATCAGCCGAGCGTTTTGGCCAAAAACACTGCCCCTTCCCCCAGGCCCAGATGCTCCTTGCAGCTCTCAGGCAGCTCCTTTTTGCCCTTAGCTTTGGGCCGACCAGGCCTTGGAGGCACAGATACACCCTGCCCCGGAGCCCACTCTACCCTTGTCGCCCACACTCCCTTTATCCTGACAGAATTGTAAATCTCTCAAAGGTGGCCAACACCCAGGAATGACCCTGGGAGCCCAGCACTGGAAGCCTGGGGAGACTGGGAGTAGAACGGGCGCTGAAGAAGGGCTCTGCAGAGGTGGCTGAGGACTCCTGCCCAAGCCCTGTTGCCTCATCTTGCTGGCTTTAACGCCCGGGTTCTGAGGGAGAGCCATTGGCCGCGACAAGGACCAGGGGGCAATGGGAAATATATTAAGCATCTTTCATTCCTTTCCCGTAGACTCCAGCAGCAAGTCCTGTCTCAGGGCTCCGGGCGGGTGCTGAGAGCCGAGGAGGAGGGCAGTACCGAGGTGCTGGGAACCACAGCCAGCCCAGCCGCCAGCCTATCCAGCAAGGCGGCAACTTCAGCCATCTCCATCACGTCCAGCGACAGCGAGTGCGACATCTAGGCTGCCCACACAGCAGGCTTGGAAACAGAATCCAGTGTATAAAAAGACACAGACAAAATGAAGGCGGGAGGGAAGAGGAGAGACCCACCAGACAATTGCTGCGCATTGGAAGCCAGGTGGCCAGGGACTCTGGATGAGGTGCCTGCGAGAGGGTTGTCATGTTCGCCCAGTGGTACAGGGGCCCACGGTGAGGCCCGACCAGCGCTATGTTCTCTTTGCTTTGCTTTTTCTCAAGGAGAGTGCGTGAAGATGCCTCTGGAACCGGATCTGCACGCTGAGCGCCTGCCCCAATCTCTGAATCTCCCGTGGGTATTTCATGTCGAAAGGACGCTATATGTATAACTTTTGCTTTAAAGTTTTTTTTTAAAAAAACAAAACATAGATATGCTGTTTATTTACTTATTTAAGAGACTGGTATGGTAGGCTTCCCTGTATTTTGGAAACTTGCTGTTTCTAAAGGTGCAGGGTTCTGTATGAGGAAGTCAAACAATAAAAATCTGGTGAGCAACCTTTCCTAACTAAGAGAGCTACTCTCGGATTCCTTAAAAAAAAATCCTTTTTTTTGGGGGGGGGTGTAAATAGGGGGAGAAAGGAGACATGTAATACTTTAAACAATAAAAAAAATCCTTCATCAGGCAGGTGAGGACTCTAGTGCAAATGGTTCCCTTTGCTTTTTCTGATGTCTCCTGGTATATTTTATGCTAAGTCCATAACCAAGTCAAATTGCATGCATGTATGTATGTATATATGTACATACATGTGCATGATATATTTAAACCTAGAAATTGGCAATGTGACCATTCCCTATAAGGCAACTCCCCACACCCCCAGCACAGGTAACCATGGCTTATCCACCTGACACTCCCTTTTATTAAGTGTCAACGGCTTTTAAGAACAATTTAGAAAAACAAGTTCTAGGGCTTAATAGTGAATCCTATTTGATAAAAATGTAAGATTAATCTGACACAGTCTCTGCAGTGAGAAAGACTTTCCATCTCCTTTGAGGCGCCCTCCCATACAAAAGCAGAAGGTACTCACGATCATGCTAAGGTGAGCATGTACTCCATTTAGGATTGAACTCATTAAACATAGACAAAAGGAGATAGGAGAGGCTGTAATAACTAGATTAACATCTTGCCGCAGAAGCAGGTTTTAATCAAATGCATTATTTTCAACAAAAGGAATATACTGCGATGGGTGAAGAATATTCACATATTGAGGTGAAATAGAAAGCGGCAGATAAACCTTGACTTCTATATTAAAGATGAAAGAAATCACAGCTTCATTGTCCTGTAATTAAATTATAAATATTCTTAGTATTTAATTTGCCCTCCCTAAATGTGCAGGCGCGCGCGCGCGCACACACACACACACACATACACAGAGTTCTTGCACTAAGACTGTAAATGCTATCCAGCGAGTCTCTAAGCTTTCATTTTTTTTCCCAGCGAAAAGGATAGCATATTACACAATTTGACGTTGATATTTAAATAAGTCAAGCTGAACTTCCCTCCTCAACTACCCCTCCTCATTAGACTCCTTTCAATTTGCCTTTTTGTCCTCAACAGAAGCCTGCTAACTTATTTGGATGGATATGCCAATGTGCAAATGGAACAAAAATAAGTGAAGTCATGGAAGACAAAAAGCAGTCAAATGGCAAGATATATGGGGAAGCCAGCAACATAAATAAAGGTTGATTTTTGGTTTCTCAATGGCTGAAACAGATTTGGCCTCATTTGGGGCTTTCTAAGTTGTTGTCATTGTGGATAGCAGCCCTTAGCCAGAGATCTGTTGACAATCAACACTCTCTTTCTTGCACAAGAACTCCAGGTGGAAGAGTAGGGAAGTCTTTGTGATCAAGCTGTGCTCTTCCAAAAGCAAGCAAAAGTCCTACTGCGAGTTGTGAAAGGCTTGGATGGCAGAGCTTCCTCCTGACTTTGTTATGTTTCCCAGAGTCCCCGGTAGTTCCTAGAATGCCGAGAAGCCGGGCCAGTTCTCCAGAGGAAGCAAAGGAGGCACCTGAAATTTAAGGAGGCATTCACTCTAAAGGTCAAGCAAGTGCAGCAAGTGCAAGGCAAGGGGATTGAGTGCCTCCTTAAATTTGCACTCTTAGGTGCCTCCCTCAATCACTGGAGTCCTGAATCTGCCAGAGAGTACAGCACTTCAATGGAAAATCAAGGGATTTCCAGCCTTGTTCCCCAGCCTCACCCCATCCTGATTATGGAGCTGTCCAGAACCAGCATTTGAAGAAGATAGTAGGCAAATTTTATCTCTTAAGTTGATGCTTCCAGATCCAACAGGGAAGGGAAAGGCCTAATTAATGGATTTATGTAAAGGAATTTGAGATTCTAAAATCCCATCCCACTCACCGGTTTAAATGAGGCCTAAAAGCAAAAGGAAATGTCCACTCTGCATTCTCAAGAAAAAGGAGCTTCTGCTAAGGACTAAGCTTTCTCTTTAGAAATAATTTCTAAATAACAATTGCTCAGGAAAAAAAGGGGGGGGGGGGAGAAGAGGCAAACAGTAATGGAAGATTTTTCTTCCTGCTTTGGTGAAAGCCTTTCAAGTATATCTTTTTTTTAAAAAAAAATACATCTAATTTGCTTTAAGTAGCCAGCTGCCTAAGGATGACATTATAAGTAGCTATTCTGTTTCACCAATCTGGAGATTTAGCTAATATGTGTCGTATTATTTAAGAGACTTGAAAGAATGTTTATGTGGAACCCGGTGGCACCTCACTGCTTTTGTGAATAATCAAGTCTTAACACATGTTGGAAGTTAGTCCAAATCTTCCTGTAGAAGGGTGTTGTCAACGTTTCATTTCCTTTAAACATTTTTTTTTGTTTTCCGTATCAGTTTTATCCTAGCTTTGAAAGGTGGTAGTTTTTTGTTTGTTTGTTTGTTTGTTCGTTCGTTCTAATTTCAGGAGGAAGCAATGTGGATGTTTCCTGAATTTGGAGAAATCTCCATATGATGGGTTTCCTTTCTTTCTTGAAATCCCTTTCCTGTAACAATTTAAACAACAACAACAACAAAAATGTTACTCCAGCAAAGTGGAAAGAAGCTGCATTCTTACATTTCAGCAGACTTGACCCATGTGAGGGTTAGATCCCAGCCCTAGCTCAGGCTCCTTAACCGGTGACACGTATGTCAAACTCCCGTCATTCCCCCCAAAGTGCGATGGCTCCTGCTCCCCGAAGGCCGCAACTCTTGTGGCCTCCACTTTGCAGACCCACTCCGCCTCCTCCAGCCGCCGCCGCCTCTCTGGTCCCGTTTGTTTATGAAAACCTGGGAGGCAGGGAAGGGATGAGAGGCGCGGGTTGGGAGGACTTGTTCTTTGTTTACATTAAACAAATGCCAGGCCAAGAGCTCAAGCAACATCTTCCTTGACCTCGGTCTCTCTCCCTAATTTTAACAAAAAAGAAAAAAATATATTGTATCAAAAGGCAACGTGAATGGGGCGGGAGGAGAGGGGAAGCGGCTTCTGGCTCCATTCAGCCAGGACGCGGAGTGCGCGGCGATTTCCGCCGCCTTTGTGCGCCGGCCCGGCGGGTGCGGGGCCTGCCCGGCGGCCCGCGGGGCTGTCAGGCGGCTCAGCGTAATCAGCGCTAATGACGGCGCCGGGCTCCGCGGGACAAAGCGCGGGCCGCGGGGTTTTGTCGGGCTGAATGGCTAATAGGTCTGCCCGGGGGCTCGCGGGGGGCGGTGTGTGTGTTGGGGGGGGGGGGGAGGCGGCGGCCGGGGGAGAAGGGGTCATTGTCCGCACGCCGGCCCGGGCGCCCGGGCGCGTCCCTCCGCCGTGCGCCCCCGGGAGCCCCGCGGAGAGGCGGCGGCGGGGGCGCGGGCGTGGGGTTCCCTGGAGAAGGCGATCCTGCGCGGGGAGGTCGGCCTTTCCCCCCCCCAAGATAGGAGGACCACAGTGGCCCCAGGACGCGGGAAGGGGTCTCCTTCCTCCGGGCCCGGATCGTGACGGTGGATGGACGCTCCACGCACCACGTTTCCCGTCCAGCGCCTGGCAGTTCCCAGACGGGTAGACCGCGAGCCACCCGTCAGACCGCCTGCCTCAAGGAGCACGAGGGCAGAAACTTCTCCCAGCCAGGGTGCGGGGGTTAAATAAAAATCAAGGTGCGGCCGAAACCGGTTTGGCTCAGTGGATAGAGCCTCGGCCTGCGGACTCAAGGGTCCGGGGTTCGATTCCGGTCAGAGGCATGTACCTTGGTTGCGGGCACATCCCCAGTAGGGGATGTGCAAGAGGCAGCTGATTGATGATTCTCTCTCATCGATGTTTCTAACTCTCTATCCCTTTCTCTGTAAAAAAATCAATAAAATGTATTTATTAAAAAATAAAAAAAAATCAAGGTGCGGGCATAAACACAAATGAACACTCAGGGGAGGGGGGCAGGTAGGGACACGCGCTCGCCCTCCAGCCTCTGACGGCGCGCGGGTTTGGGCCTGCGGTGAGGAGCCGGCGCTGGGCAGGCGGCCGGAGCCCCTGGGCCGGGCCCGGGACAGTTGAGCGAATCCCTGCGCGGCGCCCGGAGAGCAGGTGGGCTCCTGACGCAGGGAGAGGGCTTGGCGCGCTGGGCAGACCCGCGGGCCGGCCGTCGGGGCGCGAACCAGGGCCAGCGCGCCCTGAGGACCGAGTGTCCGCCACCGCACCGGCAGCCCCGCCGCCCCCCTGAGACCCCTCCTGTTGGAAACCCGGGTGCTCCCGTTTCTGCTGTTAGGAATCTCCCCGGGCTAGATCCTGCCGTGCTTCTCTAATAGCTAGGATTTACTTTCCCAAACTTCTTTAGACCTACCCTACACAGCTTTCGCCACCTTCTCGCTCCCTTGTCTGGAGACAAAGGAGCGTGCGGGCGATCCCAGGCAGAACCCGCAATTTCACGCCTCTGCCCGCGCCCTTTCCGCTCGTCCCTTGGTTTCCCCGGCCCACAACTGCTGACCTGCTAAGCCATCAAGCCTGCCCCTCCTGGAGGGAGTCATGCTCAGTTGCCTGG